AATTCCATCACGAATAACTTTTTTTCTGGAGAATTCTCTCGAAAATGCTTTTGTACGCTTGTAAACAATATAATGAGCTGTCACTGGAATAATTTTTACAGCTGTCGGACCAGTGGCTTAGAAATGACAGCAGTCTGAAGTTTGTTGCAGTCCTGTCATCTCACCCTGTAATCATAATATACTCACTCTGGGGAAACAATATTGTTCCTAAACTGCCCTAAACTGGACCCAATCCTGGGGCCTTGCTATATTTTATCCCTGGAATTAAGCATTTTCCATTCGTCCCCCTCAAACTACTGTGGACGAACACCGCCATATGTCATCCGGGTTAGGTATTCCGTTTTTTTGGCACCGGCACCTCTCTCTATCCCCCTGGCAACCTAGCTGAATGCAAAGAAACATTATGACAGAATCGTGAAAAAAGCAAAGCAAACGAGAACGCCAAACGAGAAAAGTAAAGCCCTTAAACAAAGTATGCAAATAAATTTCTGTTAACGTTAAAGAAAATAATGCAGAATTATTTTTCTTTTGGTCTTTACGTTGCTTGTTTTAGATGTGAAGTTACGTGTGGTGGATGCGAGATTGAGTTCAGGGGTTGGAAGTTGTGATGTGTTGTTTTTTTCGTTCACACACACACATTAAAATTTGTGTGTCTTACCTTATTTTTGAAATAGGCTTTAAAAATTATCAAAATTTAGCGGGAATTTAAGATTTATTGAAATAAATATCTATAAAAAACAGGAAATCCAGTTAGAAATATATTTCAGGTATTTAAGTGGATTTCCGTGATTTTTTTCCTCTAAAAATTATTACCGAGTATATGAAAATTTGAAGTAACTTCAGTAAATGGGCTATATAAATATTTTTTATGATTTACAAAGGTGTGAAATATTATAAGAATGTCATAAAAGCCAAGAAAATGAAGTCAAATATTACGGAATTTTATGGTTTAGAATATGCGAACGAACTTTTTAACGAATGACCCGTAATTTTTAACTCACAAAGATATTCAGTATTTAAATGTCACTCATGTTACCATAAACCCATGGTACAGGGTAACCACAATTAAAAATAATGTCTAACCTTGCATATTCTGTAATTTATCATGAAAGTGGAATTTCATTGAAAACGGATTTATCGTCATCCATTTTGATAATGGTATAATTATGGAGAATTTATATGGTGACGCGGTAATGCCAGCTACTCACCCTTTTTTGCTGTCAAAACACAATTGTTTATTTAAAATACTCAATGAATGTTTTTAAATTAAAACAAGTAAAAAAGCTGTAAGTTCGGCTGGGCCGAACTTTGAATACCCTCCACCATTTGGTACAAATTTAACAATTTTCAAAAAAATAAAATCCGTTAAAAATTCTGTTAAAATCTTGAAAATACCTAATGTAGCCGTATATTAGGGTCTATACGATGAAGTGGACCTGCATAGGCAACTTTTGTCACAAGCTATTACATTATTCAATATATGTTTATAATGTAGCTAAAATCATCAAAATTCCGAATATAGAGAGGTACCATGGTGGTTATAAATCGTGGATCTGCACAGGCAATTTTCTGTCATAGGCTGTAATATCCATTACGAACTTCAAATGCGAAATTTGAAATAGTTCCGGTAAATAATGTCGCTAAAATCATCAAAATACCGAATATCGTGGGGGGGGGGTGGTGTACCGTAATATGGGGGCTATACGAAGACGTGGAATTGTACCGACAATTTTATGTCGTAGGCTCTAGCATCCATTACGAACTTAAAATACCAAATTTGAAATAGTTCCGGTAAATAATGTCGCTAAAATCATCAAAATACCGAATATCGGGAGGTACCTTTATATAGGGGTTATACGAAGACGTGAACCTGCATATAGGCTGTAGTGTCCATTTCGAACTTCAGATACCATATTTGAAACAATTCCGGTGAACAATGACGCTAAAATCATCAAAATACCGAATGTAGGGAGGTACCGTTATATGGGGGCAGACAGACGGAGATCGCTGATCAAGAATATACATACTTTGTTGGGTCTGACATAAGTATTTCGAGGAGTTACAAACGGAATGACAAAGTATGGTGGATGGTATAAAAAGGACTAAAAGGGTAGGAAAAGTACTAAAATGTACTATAAAATTAAAAAATTTAAATACTTTGTGTTGGACAAATGGAATGAGCTAGAATTCTGAGAAGTAGCGTCACTAATTGATTGTCGGATAGATAGATATGAAAGGGTTTTTGAAAATTCGAAAAAGTTCTAAAATGGTGCCAATTGGTATTATTATGTGAACGGATAAAGCTAAGAACTTGTCATTTGGTATGAGAATCAAAGTTGGAATGTATGTTTGATACATGAAGGTGTTTTTGGAAATGGGAACTAAGTGTGCAACTAAGTGGTACTAAATGTGGAACAGTTTTGTTTAGGGTGAACGAATGAAGCAGGAATTCTGAAATTGAAATAAAGTATTCTATCGAAGCATGGGATTGCGTTATGGAGGTAGTTTACGAAATATTTTCTTATTTACACGAAAAGTACTAAATGGTACTAAAACCAATTTGCAAACAAGATTTCTTTAGCATTTTTTAAACCGTATTATGTAGGTAGATTCGGAAATTTGTACTTATATGCACTAAATGGTGAGTGAACAGATAGAGATGGAATGCTGAAATTTGGAATTGGGATTATTGTGAAAGTGTAGGATAAGGGTTATGTAGTAACTTTGGAAAATCCGTTCTGATGACGTTGAGTGAAGGAATAGAGCTTAAACCCTGAAATGAGATATAGATGTCACTGAAGCTGGGTGTGGTTAGGATATGGAGGTTGTTATAGAAACGCGTACTATAATTCTTCGAAAAGAACCAATGTTGGGTTTTGGCTGTAGGGTTAAAGCTGGAATCTCGATATTTGGTTTTGAAGACTCTGTTTGTGGCAACGTTTTGATAAAGAGGTATATTTGTTATAATTTGGTATTGGGTGAACAGATGGTGCTTGAAATCTGAAATTTGATATTAGCGTCGATGTTCATATGTAAAAGTACAGAATGGTACTATATTGGGGATATTGAGGGATAAAATTCTGAAATTGAATATTTAGACTACAGATGATATCTGAGGTTAATAGTTGGAGGTGGGTTTTGAGATGTGTCCTATATTTGTACGAAAAGTACTAAATTTGGTATTGGGTGAAAGTAAAAGCTGGAATTCTGAAATGTGACATAAATGCCAATGTTGGGTTCTATAAGTGTTCGAAAAGTACTAAATGGTACTAAATTGGGTATTGACTGAAAATATAGAGCTGGAATTGCGAAATTTGATATTCAGATCTCTATTTGTGGTAGGTTTGTGATAAAAAGGTGGTTTCGGAACCGCAAGAAAAGTACTAAATAGTTTTTACATGGCTACAGAGGATATGTATCATTTGATACGTCCAAAACGTGCCTCATTAAAATAACGGTGTTGGGTCCTAGGTCCCAGATCCGTTTCAGAACATTTGGAGTCGATGTGGCGGTGTCCGTCTGGCTATCTGGTTGGTGCGCACTATTATTTGAAGTGATGCAAAATTTGTACACATCGTAATATTATTGTCAAACTTAGATTGAGTTCGGTCCACACCTTCTGGTACCTCCCCCACAAACGCCCAAAATTTTCAAAAAATAAAAAAATACTGCATAGAAAGAGCGAAGATAATCCGATTTTGCTCTAACTTTGCAAATTTTAATATTTGCATTAGTACTAGGTCAGGTGCGAATATGAATAATATTGGTTCCCTCCATCAAGTTTCTCTCCCACAAAGGGTCAAAATTTTGAATAATTATAACTCATATAAAACGTGATGTAAGAGTCCGATTGTCTTCAAAATTTCACACATCCGATTATTTCTACCAACTCAAGATCTGCTGTGAATTTTGATATCGATCCACTCCTTTTGGTATCTTCCCCTACAAAGGGTCAAAAGTTTGAATATCAATGAAGCTCATAAAACGCGAAATCAACGTCCGATTCCATTCAGACTTGGTACGTCAACACAGGATCTGTTTAAATATGGTGGATATGGGAAAATTTCTTTTGGTACCTCCCCCTACATGGCGTTTAAATTTCATACATAAAAGCATATTTGTTAACACAAGATCTCTTGCGAAGATAATGTATATCTGCCAACCCCTTGTGATACCTCACCCACACAGGTTCACACAATGAAGTATGAACTTGGAATACTTCGGTCTGACTATATCTGACTATATTTTCGCATATCTCATATAAAGGGAAGGAAGAAATCAAACCGAACCAAAAATGTATATCACATTTATTTAGGTCCGATACGAAAAAGACAATATTGGCACATACCTTCGGAACCTATTTCATAGAGGGTCGACAATATGAATAATCATAACAGAAGTGAAAATATATTTAATTAATCGAACATTGACTGAGGCTTCTTAAATTGTTTTATTTAATCCTGGTAGCAGAGTTTGATATCGCTTTTCGTACGAATTTGTATTTGCAGGAAAATTTTAGCAAAATTTTCTGTTTGAGTACAGAATCCATACGTCAGTTATACTTGTCTTAAAATCAGTTTTAAGGGTTCTGAATTTTCAAAATTTGATTAAAACAAATAAGAAATAAAATAAATTTTTAATTCGAAAAAAAAAAAAACAATTGTCATTACTTCATTGCCAAAGGTTATTTTTGAGCTTTTGGCATCATTCCGCATTGCCTCTCATTTTTTTATATAATAGGCGGAATATTATATAAAGAATTATGAAAACATCTGACTGGTATCAAGTCCTTGATCATAAATACATTTTCTATATAACTTTTTTTTAATATTAAATGAACTCATAATCGTGATATTTAGGCGAATTTCCATATAACCCACGCACAAGTTACACACACCTCTATCCCCAAACATCTCATGGTGGTCATAACAGTAATTAGGCACTACTACTCTTCATAATGTCCTTAAACACTCAACATGGAATTATCTTGTTGTACTCACCTTTATTATAATTACAATTCCTTCTAACGGTTAATGGAGGGGAGGAACAAACAGGAACTGTTTGTATCCAGGGAAGCTATGTAGCTGAGGCTATAGGAGGCTGTGTCGATGGTAATTAATTAATTTATGTTAATTTTTTTTTGAAATTGTGGCGTAGATGCTTTCAACGCCTCTAGAAGCCGCCTTTTGTCAGAATAATTGATTGTTTTTTTTGTTATTTTTTTATTCACACTCTTCTTGTTGTCGACTGACAACGCGTTGGCACAAACACACGAACAGCTTTAGCTGGGTACCGGCGCACTCATTAGATTTGTTATTACTGCCTGGTGGCTGGTTCGTTGCTTGGTTGGTTGGTGGCTGATGAGTGGATAAGGGCTGTCTGGCTGGTTGGCTTATTTCACCGGCCTGGTTAAATGTCTGTTTTGGGTTTATAAATGTTATTATGGCGGCGGATCTGGTTGCGTTGCTAACATGTGTTTATCCCGCAGTTCCGGTGAACTTCGATGATGTCGGCGTCCGGCGGCAAAGAGTTTGTCATTTATAATGCGGGATTGTCTTAACTGTTTATCAAGTTAATAGAATCATAATGAACCCCACATGTGTGTTGTTCGCGGAACAGGCAGCGGCAAACGTCACTTTAAGCCGACCGAGCCACTCTACACGCTGAGCAAATTAATTAATTGCCGGGTGGCGTGTGTGTGAATGTGTGTGCGAATGGGTACTTTTCCTTTTCTTTTTAATTTGAATTTTTTTTTTCATACACTTTGGTGTTTGTCAAAGAGCTTCTGGTTCTGCTGCTCCTGCAAAGAGGAAAAAAAATATGAAAAATGATTAGAACAAAACGATTGTCGTTTAGTAATGAATTGCAATTTGTTTGTTTATTCATTCATTTACTCGTTATTGTTTTTGTTGTTGGGGATTTGAAAAAAAAAAACAGCCGAACAAATATTTACAAATAGTTAAAAATGATAATTTCCCACAAATAAATCAAACAGAACTACAGCTGAATGAAATAATGTATGCAAATCGTGTGTTCGAAACGGCCTGCATTGCCAAGTCAAACTGACTGACAGACACACCGACACATTATGTGTGTGTGTGTGTGTGTTTGAGTAAAATAAATTGGTTAAATATTTGTGTTGGCACAGCCGAACAGATGTTTGACTTCGACGGCGGCAGCATTTATTTCGTCAAACAATTTCTTCGAAACTGATTGCTTCGAGTAACTGTAAACATTTAAAACAAAGCGAAGATAAAGTAATTATTTTTTATTTAATTCTTATTAATTTTTTAGGGTTTTTAAGAAACGAAGGTTAATTTGAAACTTGAAATTATCATTTCGATAAACTAAATCCTAGAAAAAGTTCTGAATTTACTTAATCTAGTTTGTTCCGTGATTATTGCCTCAGTCATCTGAAAACTATGAAATTTCATTGTGAAATAAAAAATATTATCTCCTTTCCTTAGGTTCATTTCTCACAGAGATTCGAAGTGGTTGACATTCACAACCCTCATCACAGGTTCCGCATATAACAAAACTTCACACATCTGAATATACCTAAAGAAATTTGATGAAACCCGAAAATAAAGGGCAAACACTTTCAAAACTTCCGAATGAGCCGTATTTTTTCACCGGCTTGGTTAAAATAGGTAAGGTTTTTACAACTGGTTCAAAAACCCATATCTCTGGATCAAAGGAAGATATTAACATATATTGTAGCAAAGGTTATGGTATCAACCATAATATTGGCACAAATTTTGTGGATTCCAAAAATGGGGCCTTTTACGAATTTTGGGGGATTTTTTGAAAAAAAAAAAAAAAAAATCTGGGTCCAAAAATTTTAAATTATTAAACCGAACCGTTTTAAATGATTCAAATCTGCTTGGGAGTTGTATCACTAGTTGGATAGGTATTTTCATTAACTTTAAAATTATACTATAATTTTAATAGATCCGGGCCTTGGACCAGTACTTTCGAATCAAATATCCGCAACCGGGTCCGACCTCCACGAAAAAATGCTTTTCCGTAACCATGGTGCAAATACCTACCTATGTAAAGAAATTCCAAGAGCTTTTACTAAAATTGAGTTAATTCAAATAAACTTAGAAGGTTCTCCTCTTCAAAAATCGGAGGACTTGATAAAGTACCTCCTTAAAAAAGGATTTTTTCGAGGAACTTTCTTCAGGATTTTCGAAAAATGATTTTTCCACAGTGGATTTTTAAAAGATATTTTTCAATGAATTTTTGGCAAAACAAAAAAAAACTGTAAAGAAGGTTTAAAAGTCGAGCGGGCTGACTTTATCATACCCAACACCTACCCCTTTACATACATTTTTACTAGAGCTTCATATAACAAATTTATACCAGTAAAGAAAGCTCAAAAGTCGGGCGGGGCCGACTATATGATACCCTACACCACTATGCATATTTAGAAGAGCTCTCATAAAAGAAAGGTTTATATTGGGCATTTCTAAGCTCTATGAGATATCTGGTACAAAATATGACTATGGTAGAGTGCATATTCCTAAAGTTGGAGATTTAAACACCAAATCGGATGAAACATATATATATATATATATATATATATACACTGGTGGCCAAAACTAAAGCAACTGAAATTACAAGGAGAATGAATGCCCTGTAACTTTTTCAAAAATTACGAAAATGAGAAAGTTTTTCTTGTTTTAAATTAGGTACTTTATTCACTTTTTAAAAACCTAAAACATAAAACCAAAATTCATTTTTATATAAAAAATTATGTTTGGTAAAGTCAATTAACCCGATTTTGGCTTGGACAAAACAAAAGCAACTCTGTTGTACATTCATATAACGCTGCAATTTCAGTGGTTTTTACTGTGATATTTATCGCTTTTTGCTTCCTTCGACAATTTCGCTTGTCATAAATCCTTTTTGAGAAGTTTTTTACAACAGTATGTGTTTTTCTTTTCGTTTTTTAAGTACTACCAAAAAAATTTAAAAATGGCTAGAAGCAAATACTGTACCTGAATAAAACAGCAAATTATCAGTGATTATCAAAACAACATATCACAGAAAATGATTTCCGAGAAATATTTCATAAATATTTATGTGATTTCATAATTATGTCTGTGCACTAAGTCGGTTTCATGAAACTGGATCAGTAGTAACAGTCTATAACGGATGAAGGCCTTGAAAAACTTCAGCCCGTACTGATCCATAAATTGTGAGAGAAATAAAAAACAACTATTTAAGAGTTCAATTGGATTGGTGAGAGAGCAATCATTGGATATAAGCTCGAGATCAGTGCGTAGACGAGTAGTGGCAGCTGGTCTGCATGTCCGTAAGACATCAAAAAACCATTTACATCTGAAAAAATCAAAAAGGCTTTCGGAAACGGTAATATTAAGTGGAATCAAGCTCAATAAAAACGTTATTTCTTGGATGAGTCTACGTTTAATATTAAAGGCTCAGACGTGAAAAATTTTACGGTGAGAAGACCAAAAAATGAAGGACTCAAGCCGCAGTGTTGCAAAGGTACAGTGAAGCATGAGGGAGGGTCAAAAATGGTGTGGCGCTGTTTTTCTTTCTATGGACTTGGGCCTATCCATGAAATAAAGGAAGTTATGGATCGGTTTGTTTACAAAGATGTGTTGGACATCACGTTGTTCCCTTAGTAAGTAGTAAAATATTCAATGATCCCAAACTTGCATCAAAACTTGTCAAATATTGGTTGCGGGAGTCAAAAATTTATGTTTTGTCATGGCCGGCACAATCACCTGACCTAAACTCCATAGAAAACCTTTGGAGTAACGTAGATAGGAAGATCAAGCGAGATCCGGAAATAAATAAGCACAACATTTTCTAAAGAATTCGGGGTGCCTGGGAAAGCGTGCCCAAGGATCAAATTGAACGTGTTATAGATTAAATGTCTCGTAGGTGTGCAGCTGCTATCAAAAATAATGGTTATGCTATCGACTACTAGCCAAACTTTAATTATTTTAAAATAAAAAATCAAAAGTTGCTTTAGTTTTGACCAAGCAAAAATTGGGTAACTTTAGTTTTCCACATATTATTTTTCGTTACAAATTATTTTTGTATTTTTATTTTTAGTTTCTTAAAAGTGAATTAAACCTCTCATTTAAAACTGGAAAAATAATTACGATTTGTTTATTTTTGTAAAAGTTACAGGACATTTATTGTCTTTATGATTTTAGTTGCTTTAGTTTTGGCCACCAGTGTATATGGAAGAACCCAATTTGACATATTGGTTTCTATGCTCAATACAGGGTGAGATCAAAAATTGCAAATGCAAAAAAAGGCATAATTTTATTTTATTTTTAATTTTATTGAAAGAAAGCACAAAAATATCGGAAATAGCATCAAATTTTATAATTAGATTTGTTCGAATTGGCCACCTTTGACACGAATTATGGCCTTCCAACGGCCAATGAAACCGTTACACGCTGCCCGAATGTTGCTGTGCGGTATTTTGGCCCATTCCCGGCGAAGCGCTTGTTTGAGGTGATCGCGACTTTGGTATTTTTTAGTGCCAACCTTGCTTTCAAAAATACTCCAGACACAAAAGTCCAACGGAAATGAAGAGAGGAACCTCATTCTGTAACTATTCTTGGATGGAGCGTGCTGAGTGCAATGGTACTCAGTCCTAGGGTATATATCATTTGATACGGCCAAAACATGCCACATTGAAATAACTGTTTTGGAGCCTAGGTCTCTTTAGACAAAAACCGTTTTAGGACACTTGAAGTCGATCTAGCGATATCCATCCGTCTGTCTGTCTGACTGGATGGTGCGCGAAAACTCTTGAAGGGAGTATCAGATTTAATCCAAACATGGTACTTTGTAATATCTACTCCGGTCTACTCCTTCTGGAAAATCCCTCAACATTTTCTGGTACATCAATATCAACATTTTCAATGGAAATAATTCATTGCTTTTGCTCCAACTCTGCAAATCCTAATATTTCCATTAGTGCTAGGTCAGGTGTGAAAATGGACAATATCGGTCCATCCCCACAAATGGTAATAATTTTGAATAATTATAACTCTGGTAGGAGTAGGGAATAAATATGTTCACTCCTTCTGGTACCATCCCCACAAAGGGTCACAATTTTGAATATCCATGAAGCTTATAAAACACGAAATTAACATCCGATTGCATTCTGTTACAAAGAAGGTACATATCGGACCATTCCTTGTGGTACCTTCCCCATAAACAGCCAAAGTTTTGAATAACCAAAATCCGAAATAAGCATCCCGTCCTCTTCACATTTCACATATCCCATTATTTGTACTAACACAAGATCTGCTGTGAAGATGGGATATATATACATATAGGTCCACCCATTCTAGTATCTTCTGGTGTTAAAATTTTGAATATCCATGAATATCCGATTCCATTCAGACTTGGCATATCTCAATATTTCGATCAACACAAGATCTGTTATAAAGATGGTAGAGGTCGGACCATTTCATCTGAGACCTCCCCACATAGAGTTCAAAATTTGAAAAACAAACACGCAATAAGCATCCAAATCTCTTCAAACGTTCGATTTTCTTGTAATTTGGCCCATACCAATATTTTTATCTGTATCAGATGATGTGTGAAAATAGAAGACTTCGGTCGACTATATCTGGTACCTCACATCGTTTAACCCTTAGTTCGTTGATGACTGTTTTCAAATGTCATTTTCAAACATTTATCAAACAGACTAAACTGCTCCCAAGCTATCACTGAGAAATGCAGTCGACGACCAGCCAGCCACATTACATTGGAAGTTGTCATAATGTTATTTTAAGTGAG